TTAACAATATACATCATGAAATACTATTTATGTATTTTTTTAGATACACATTATGCTGGGCTAGGTACCCAAATTTTCTGGAAAGATATACAAGACTGTCAACAGCAGTTAGTTACTTCTAGCCTCTAAAAAATGGGAATAGCTGATAGAAAACAGGATTTTACTTTTCTGTTTATACTTCTCTGGACTGATTTGTTTACCATGTGAATGTATTTAATTTAAAAAATAATAACACTTAAAACAAAAGTTATGCTTGTGCCCAATCCATTTTTCGAAATAAATAAAATTTCTAATTAAATCTCTACAAATATAACATGTAAAGTTCTTACACAATTAATTATAAAATTAATACTCAAAAGTAGTTTATTATATTTGAAAAGTACTTGAAGATTTTATTTCATTCTACATAAATTTCTCAATAATCGTATAATTGTTGAGAAATTATAAGTTAAACATCAGTCATAGTTTAAATAATTTCAAAAAATGTTATATAATATTTTAATACATATTTATGACACTACCAAGGCTCTCCAAAAGTAACAATACCTAGGACACAAGAGACTCTAAAGACGGACATGGGTAGCATAAACTCCAAACTACATAAAAAATAAATTTATATCAAATTCTGCCTAGGATGCTCGATCAATGACAATGTGATGTGAATGACAGACTAGTTATGAGAGGGAATCCTTGAAAGGAATTCACTACCAGTATGACTCGCTTTTTCCTGCCTCCACCCACCTGTTCTCACTACCGCCCTCCCCCTCCTTACTTTGGCTTTGAATTCAGGCCACCCTGAATTCAGACCATCTCTTCCAGAGAGCAGTAGAATGCCTACTGGTGAACCACGTAAGGGGTACTTTTTGTTCTGTCTTCATTAAGAAAGATACTTTTTTTAAAAGGTCAATTTTATGGTGAGTTATATCTCAATTAAAAAAAAATTTCATGTTCGAAGAGGAAGAACAAAGATAAGTAAGAAACTCTAAACACCACTGAGGGAAGATAATATGAGATGTTCTGCTGCTTTGAACAAACCAAGAGTTCCAGTCCCAAATACTGAAAGATAGTGAAAGAAATTGCCAAATGTAATTGCAAACCACAAATGGAAATATAAACATTATCGACAGTGGGAAAAATGCCAGAAGATAAGAGGTACTGATTTTCAAGTGTGAAACAGACTTCTGTTAAAGATAGAGGACTGACCAAAGCTGCTCCAAGTAGCTGCCTATCTAGAGAGTAAGATTGGGGAACAGAGCAGCGTTATTTTTCATCATCGTCATTATTATTATTTGGTAATACTTTAAAATTACATCCATATAATACAATAACTAAATTTCACCCCCCAAAAATGTTTTTCATCTGGGGGGGAAAAAAAAAAAAAACGAAAACAAAAACCGAGATCTTTAAAATTATGGTCCGAGAATGATCCCCGGAAGATTTTGGCATGGATCAAACGAGGCTCTATGAGCACTTAAAGGAAATCGACCCGAGGTGCCAACATGGGTCCACTAGAGCAAGTTCACTCATTCAACAAATATTTATTGTACATCTACTAGATCCCAGTTATTGTGCAAGGCGCTGGGAATGAAGCAGAAATCAAAACGGGCCCATTCCTGCCCCTTGTGGAACTCTAGTGAGGGAGACAAATAATAACAAAAATTACAGCGTAATTCCCACTTGCGGTGAGTGCTATGAAAAAGAGCAGAGGGATTTCTGTGAGTACAGGACGAGAGGAACGGGCCTCCCTGCGGGGAGGGGCCGGTGTGAGAGAAACGTTCTGTGAGGAAGCAGCCTGTAACCTTAGCTCTGAAGGATGAATAGAATTTAAGCAGGTAAAGTGTGAGCAGAGCTATGGAGAAAGCTGACCCACCCCCAAGTGAAAAAAAGCATGAGGCAGCAATCAGCTCGGCACGCTAGAGGGAGAGAAAGCTGAGGCGGCTGGACAGTAAACAGGAAGGAAAGTTCAAGAAAGAGACTATGCAGGTAACTAGGGGTTGTGTCACAGAGACACCAACTAATGCTATTTTCTTTTTTAAAGTGATTACTGAACAGGTACAAAGACGCTCTAAATTTGTTTTCAGGAAGACAATTGATCAAAAACACTTGAGACAAACTACACTTAGTTCTACAACCAAATTCTATCCAGAATCTACCCATGTCTCCCTGCCTTCTGGCTCCTCCCTAGATCAAGGCCACCACCTTCTCTCCCCTGCGCCACTGTTTGCATTTGTACCTCCCACGATCCAAAACAAAAGCATTCCGTTTGAATTCTTTGCTTAAAATCCTTCAATGGCTTCCATTTGTCACAAGCTGGGTTTTCTACAGATGTGGAGACTGAGTCTGAGATCCAAGATGTTGACTGGATTTTAGACCTGTGAAAGAAAAGTGGAGGAAACAGGACTGGGCAGAGGAAGAAATCGCGGCGATGCAGACCCAACAAGGCTTTGGTCAACCCGTCAGGCACCTTGGAAATCGTCTGGTGCCACATCGAAATGCTTGAGCCATTATACCCCACCCCCCAGAGTGTGTCCTCAGGCAGCAAGGCTCTCTGCAGCGGAGGAAGACCCCAAAAGAGATACCAGCTTAAGGCCATTTACTGACCACCTCACTGCCCTCCTTAAGGGGAGATCTGGCTGTTGTATCTCCTTATCCATCTCACCACTGCATTTTGAATTTTAAGACTTCAAGATCCTAAATGATCTGGCTCCTATCCACTTTTCCACTTGGCTTCTGTTCACAATTTGCTGCAGGTTCATTAGCCTTCTTGTTTATTGACGTCCATCCCCCTCCTCAGGGCCTTTACACTTTCTGCCTCCCTTGTCTGGAATGTCATTATTCCAGTCTTCACGTGGTTAGCTCCTTCTAAAACTGCCTGCCTCATTCCTCATTACTCTGTATAGTGCTGCCCTGTTTAATTTTCCTCATGAACTTAAATAAAATTATCTAAATTATTTTTTTACATGTGTCTTATCACCTAGAATGTAAATTCCATATGAAGGTGTGGATCTGATCTGTGTTGTTCACTGCTCTTTCCCCAGGCAGCACCTGAAACACAGCAGGCGCCTCCATAAATATGTGTTAAATCGAATTGGATGCGGTGCAGAAACCTACATTAAATAATGCTACAGTTAGCTGCAGTTTTAGTTTCCTGAACGACTTGTCCAAACAATATTTATTAGTGTATTAATACACGTTAACCTGAAGGGAAATCTCTTGTTGGCTGACACAAATCTGTCTGGTCCTATCAAATTTAGAAAAATCAGTGGTCTGTATAGAAAGAAATGTAATCATCTAAATTGCTGATAACACAAAACTGGGAGTATTGGTGGTTAATATACTGGATGACGGGTTATCCAGTATGTTCATAAAAAAGAGATTAAAAAGGAGAATGGAGAGTTAATCGTGGTGTATTATACATATGATGAACTATTGTGCAGCAAAGAAAATGAGTGAATTACTCCTATGTGCAACATGGAGAAACTTTAATGTTGGGGAAGATAACTCAGACACAGCGAAAAGGGAGCATAGACTGCATAATTCTATTTCTCTGTATTTCACAATCAGGCAAAACTATTCTGTGGTTCTCTTGAGGAAGGAAAATGGGGGTAATGATGGGGAGGGGGCCTGAGGAAGGCTTTTGAGGTGCTGGTAATGTCTATTTCTCGACCTGAGTGGTAGTTAATTGTGTGTTTATTTTGCAATAATTCATTGATCTGTGCATTTGGGATCTGTGCACTTTTACATGTATATTATGCATCAATTTTAAACTTAAGAGTAAAAAAGACCTGGGAGATAGATTTAAAAGTTCAATGTTTAGTTCCCGATTTTGAATGAAATATTTTTAATATTTTGCCAGTTAGGATTATAACTGTTGGTTTGCAGTAAATAATCTTTATTATATTTCAGTTTCCTTTGATCTCTTGTTTCACAGGGGTTTATCAGAATGGCTACTGAATAGGCTGTAACACCTACTGTGGCAGGGATGTAGGGTAAAGGGTATTTTATGTGTTGCTATTAAAACATGAAGTGTTACAGGCTTTTTGGAAAGCAAACTGGCAACAGCTATTATGTAAAAAAATATTTATACCCCTTGAACCAGCAACCTCAGTGTTGGGAATCTAGTCTAGTGAAATAAAAATACTAGCTTCAATAAAACTATTGAAGTAAAAACATCAAGAAACATGTTCAAGGCTATTAGGGTAACATCTTAAGTGGCAACATATTATAAATTCTATGCATGCTCATCAATAGGTGAAAGGTTACAAAAATTGGTATATCCACATTTTGGAACTCTATTAAAAGGAATGAATTTGTACTCCACCAGTTGATTTAGAGGGATTTCACACAAGAAATTGTTTTAAGTAAAAGTAACAGACAAAAATGTATTTACTTTTTAAATGACAAAAAGCCGTATATGTTAAATATACGTGCATTTGTTATTTGTCTATATGTGTTTATATGAGCATGGAGAAAAACGTTAACTAGGTTGAAAAAATGATTACTGGAGGCACAAGGGCTGATGGGGTGACTGAGGAGGAGCGGGTAAGAGGGAGTCAAGAGAAAAGAGAAAAAGAAGAACCAAAGGATTCTTTTGAAAGCTCTGTATGAGCCAATCTCACATCACAGGCGAAAAATCGAACGCAGTCCCAGGGACATTAACAGACTGTATCATGTCTGAATCAAGGGAAGTGATAACTGTAGTGTACTTTATGCTGTTCAGATCAAACCTAGTATATTTGATCAATTTCTGGACATTGCACTAAAAATGAACAAATTCTGTTTTGTTTTCCCCCCTAAAAGAAATAGTTTTTCTTGTTATAAGAGGATTGGTTAAGAATCAAACAAATCTGGGTTCTAATTTCTTTTCAGCCATTTACTTAGCTGTGCGCCTTTGGCAAATTACTTAACTCCTCCATAGTTCCTACCTCTCATGGTTATTGTAGGATAATTACATATAGCATGTCAGGACTGGCATCTAGAATAAACACAATAAAATAATGTTGTCGCTGTTATTCAAGTAATTATTTATTGTGAAAATTAGATTTTACATATAAGAAAATAAAAGACATAACCGTAATCTCATTTTCCAGAGTTAACTATTGTTGATTTTTGATGTTTATGAGGTTACTCAATGTGATCTGAAAAATCCTCACAAGTCCTGATGATAGCTTAGTTGGGACAAATCAGCAGCCACCAAATGTGTGAAGGGCTGTGACATGGGAGAGGTGTAGACATATTTTGTGAGGTTCCAAAAAACAAGAGCAAGAACCAAGGGTTACAAGGAGAGCTGTCCAGCACTGAGATGGGCTGCCCAACACCGTGGGGAGCTCCGTGTTATAACAAACACAGTCTTGGCTGGAGACCGCTTGCGAGAAAAATTATGGAAGAAATATCTGCATCAGATGAGAGGTCAAGCTAAATGACTTCTAAAACTCTATCTAATTCTAACATTTTATGATCAAGAAATACTTGCTGGGTGTATACAGATATTGGATTCATAGTCCTTATAAGGTAATTCGCAGGCTTCTCACTATAATACTGGATGGGAAGGACAGTTCGCAATTCATCCCATGAGTTAATAGGGAATTCCTAGCATAGGTCAGTTAGAGGACCACTCCTTCACACAAAAATACTGAAGACATGCAATTCCACCAATTAATCCCAGTGGATACAGAGAAAGAAATCAGAGAGGGGCGGGTATGGAAACAGTTTACATCTTATCTTCAGGTACTATTTGTCTGCTTTCTTCATAGTCCTGGTCTCTTCCTGGGAAAAATTCCTGATTTGGAAAAAAATTCATAATTACTCAGGGGAAAAGAAAAAGAACAAACAAAAAATACATTAATGTGGTTGGGAAAAAAAATCTAAGAACGTGGTGTTGGTGAGAGAGAAGACTCAAGGTCTGTGTAAGACCCACCCAAGTGCTTTTGATGTTTGACCAATTATTATCTTATTATTCTTCCTGCTGTAGATGCAGCTGCATCTATACGTAACAAGATGTTTAAAAAGATTAAAGAGAAGCCTTAGAAGGGTTCTGACGTGATAAGAGTCCCTAGAATATGTTTTTATGGACATTTAGAATATAAGTTCCTGTACATTCTTAGAATAAACCATCTATTTATTTTTCTTTTTCTTAAAAAAAAAAGTAGAATTTGTATTTCAATGTGACTGCTTCCTGCCTACAAGTGATATAGAGATAAGAGAGCAAAGAGAGGTTGATGGTGGTCCAAATCTCTCTAGTTTTTAATCAACTTTGACTTTTAGGTCCAAAATATTTTACCCTATAATCAGTAAGTCTTTGGAATTTACTTGGATTAAACCTGCTCATCAGAAAATGGATTATGCTATTGTTCAAGCAGCAGAGTCGTGACTCAATGTAAAGATGAAAGTTAAAGAAACATAATTTTTGGTAGAGGAGTTTGTGGAATTGAAGTTGAGATGGGCTAAACTGACGTAGGGTTAGACGAGGGTCCTATTGCTGTCTCAGACATAGGGAATGACTCACTGGCATTCAAAACTGTCTGCCCTGTGGGGTGCTTACCTTATCTTGCATCATAAATTTGCACTGAGTACCCAATAAAAGGGTTTTGAGGTATGTCCTCAGAACGTCTGACATTTGTCGTAAATAAAGCTGCCTGTTCATTTCAATTCCTTCTCCTAGCACCCCACCAATGCCTAGTGTGTGCTTGTGCATGCTTTCTCTATTTATTCTGAAATTTTTTCTCTGAAAGTAAGTTGTAGACATGATGCCCTTTCCCCCTAACTACTTCAGTATGTATTTCCTAAAAACAAGGACATTCTCTTTTGCAACCACAGTACAATTATGAAAATTAAGAAGTCAATAATGATGCAATACCTAATCTACAGACCTCATTCAACTTTTTTTTCAATTTTCCCAATAATGTCCATTATAGAAAAAGAAGGTTCCCGATTTTATCTGGCATTCAGTTGTCTCTATCTTTATTTTAGTCTCCATTACTCTGGAGTAAATTTTCCACACTTCGTCTCTCACGACCTCGACACGTTTGGAGAGTTACAGGCCAGCCGTTTTGGGGAGTGCTCCTCAGCTTGGGTTGTCAAATGCTTCCTCAGAACCAGATTCAGGTTAAGGATTCTTAGCAGGAACACCACAGAACTGATGGTGTGATCTCAGTACGCAGCATTAGATGCTGATTTGCTCTATTGGCATTGAAGTTACCTATAATGACTTGGTTAAGATGGTGTCTGCCAGGTTTCTCCACTTTAAAATGACTATTTTCCCCTTTATTGTTGACAAGTGTCTTGTGGGGAGACACTCTGAGACTATGTAAATATCCTGTTTTTCATCAAACTTGATCTGTTAGTTTTAACATCCATTGATGATTCTCGCCTGAGTCAAATATTACTGTGCTGATTCCCAAATGGTGCTTTTATAATTTTCTCATCCTTTCTATATTTTTTAGTTGACGTTCTACTGTAAGGAAAAATGTTTTCTTCTTCATTCATGTGATGATTTATTTATACCAGTTTGGACTTATAGATTCATATTTTATTCAATGGGTTATCTGTTATTGACATTATTTATTATAATGCTCAAATTTCCCTGATTTGGATAGTGAGAGTCCTTTCAAACTGCCCTTCTGACATGTTCCAAAAATTCTTTGAGCTTCCTAACTTCATGACACAAGATATTCTAGGCTTTTCTTGGGGTTTTCCCAGCATCAGCCCTGAAATCTTCCACTTCTCTAAGAAGCTCTTTAGTGGAGAATGTTATTTAGAAAGATTTGGGTTCTGGGTATGCTGATTCATGCTAGTGTCGTTGCTTATAGGCCCTCTCAGAAGGCAGGAGCTCCCCCACACACACTTATAAAACAATGTGCTCACACTGATATTTCCAATTCCAGCCCAGCACTGCAAGGTTCATTCTGGCCTTTCCCCTTTCCATATTTATAACTCCCTTCTCTGAAGGTGAGAACTGTGTAAAACTACTACACTTCCTCAACCCTATGCACTCTCTTTCCTCTTATTCACTTCAGTGCAATCTCCCATCTTCCTGAAGCCAACTTGTATGTACACACTGGTGCCTGAGTCAAAAGCACCTGAAACACCGAGATCTGTGCTCCATCGCCACGGCGATGTTTTTTGTTGTTGGCTATTTCAGCCTGTTACACTTTAACAGAAATTCCAACTGGCAAAAGCACTCTGCACCCCAACTCTGTCCCACACAGTGACACAGCAACTCTGAAAGGACTGCTTTAAGGTCCTGATGGCTCACAGAGAACATATGGGTTTTACATGTCTTTTGGGTTTTACATGTCCTTTATTTCAGCTCCTTTTGCCTAGAATTCAAACACGAATCCAGTCGGTGCCCAGAATCACTCCCTTCTTCCAATCCTGCCTGGTGGTCCTCTCTTCTTTCCATCAGGATGAGCTTTCTTCACATAAAGGGGACCTTCACATACATAGAACTGGGTCCTCCAAATACCAGAACGTGTAAGCTTAAATTCTCAAAATGCTCCCATCGCATTTATTATTCTCTTACATTATGTGTATCAGTAGTTTAATTCAGAAACTCTCTTGAAAAGAGACAGAGGACTATTCCACAGGCAGCACAGAAATAAAAAGACTCCAATCCTACCCCAAGAATCTCGTCCAAGGAAAAGAGGAGCCTCATGCTTTTCCTGGCAGGTGGAGACTCAAGGAAGCCTGGAGAGCTGTTCCTGAAGATCGCCCTGGGGCTTGATCACAACTGCACTATTGTCTCTTAGAATACCATCCGCAGGGTGTGGATGTTAAGTTGTTTTTCCAACAGTGCTAATAGGCACCTAATCTATCACTCCTGATTTCTCTTATTTCCAACTGCAAGCCTCTGAAGGAGGACTGGCCAGGTTAGCAAACCACTTGGTAGCTATGAGCCTGAAAGGTATTAACTAAATAGTGCATAAAATAAGCCCAAGAGATAATGACCTCGAGTCATGATACCTTTATTGAGCTAACTAGTCACAGACTGGTCACATGTGAACATTTTATTAAGTTGCTATTTAATAACATGCAATTACTTTACTTGAGATAAAAATCTCCTGATTACATGAAAGATGTAAGACAGGTAATTCTGAATTAAAATCTCCTGATTACATGAAAGATGTAAGACAGGTAATTCTGAATTAAAGCCAGAGTATATTAAATCTTCAGCATTATTGATGGGCTCTCTACTGCACTTACTGAACTTGTTTCCTTCACTGGAATGTAGGCTTTGTGAGGACAGGGAGGGGCCTTTGCTTTGTTCACTGCCCAATTCCCAGTAAGAGTATGCCCCACTCGCAGTAGGAGCTCAATAAATTTTCATGGAACAAATACAAGTGTTTGGTGGCATAACAGGAGGAAATTAAAAACTAAATAAAATCCTGAAGGAATCATTGCTCAGCTATCAGTATTCCAAGGAGCGTCAGTGAGAATGCTAAGGAAAACTTGGAAAATGATTAGTATGAATGTGGCCCGAAGCATCAAACCTCCCCTCCATCTTCCATGTTTTAAGGTTGGTGGAGAGGGTAAGTCTTGCTAAGAACTTACCTAGATCCTTAAAGGAACATTTAAAAGCTTCACACGGTTTAGGAGTAGCTAAATGAGTGGACTAGTATAACTAAGATCCAGGGGGAAAAGTTTAAAAGCAGAAGGGGAGAAAAGGAGACATGTTCACATATTACAGGGTACGGCAGTCCCCCCTTATTCATGGAGGATACATTGAAAAACCCCAGTGGATGTCTGAAACCACAGATAATACCAAACTCTATATATGCTTTTGGCTATACATACGCACCTATGACAAAGTTTAAAATACAGATTCAGCACAGTAAAAGATTAACAACAATAATAAAATAGAACAATTATAATAATATACTGTAATAAAAGTTATGTGAGAGTGAGAGTGCTCTCCTTCTCTCTGGTAACTGATCATTTAACCAACATGGCTAAGTGACTAATGGGTGGGGAGCATACACAGCGTGCATGTGCTGGACAAAGTAACGACTCACGTCCTGGTTGGGACAGAGCAGGACGACACCAGAGTCCATCACTCTACTCAGAATGATGCACAACTTAGAACTTATGAATTGTTTACTTCTGGAATTTCCCATTTAATATTTTCAGGCTTTGGTTCACAGCAGGTAACAAACCTCGGAAAGCAAGACCATGGATAAAGGGGAGACAACTATAATTAGGAAAATGTGTATTTTACTCCTTATAGCTTTAAGTACAGGATCTCAAACTCAAATGCTTTGAGTGGGCAGGCCAGTACTATAAATGGGTAAAGCAGTTGGATGTAATATAATAGGTATAACTAGAGACCGAAGGAAAATGGGAAATGCATGCCCCTTCTAAAGACATTAAAAATCCTTTAGACAGCAACAACCACCACAAAACACTCTAATGATTAGACATGTCTGTGGAACAAACTAATTTATAGGCAGTTTGAGAGCTGTAGCTTAGATTTTATGTTGTTTCTGTGTTTTCCTATTTGCCCCTGAAAGTGTGGATGTGTGTGTGCTTGTGTGTCAGTGTGTTCCAACAGTTGCCGGCTGGACAGTCTGAAGAATGAGGGGGCGTATTTGCTACTCACAGTAGTGAGGAGACTTAAACAGACATCATGCCCGGAGGGCCCACGTGCCCACCTGGACTGCTCTGTGGGGCTGGAGCTTCCGTCACAGGCCACGACTGGTCTGTGGGAGCTGCCCGAAGCATCTGGGTTTTCTTGACTAATTAACTCACTTGGAGTGAATGAACTGCTGGAAGCAGCAAGAGACAGTTCTTGAAGTGAGACCAACTCCATGGATAATGACAAGAACTTCCCAAAGGCAGGTGGACAGCTCCGCAGCAGAGGTTAGAAAATGGCGGGGCCCGTAGACCTGAGGGTAGGGTAGAAAGGTTAGAGACTGGGTTGAAGGGGAGATAGTGCATTCAGTTTTGCTGGCCTCCCTTCTATATTCTTTTATGGGTTCACCAGGCTGAAACCATTGTGACATGAGAAACTTTAGACTAGAATATGGACTTCACTCTTGAAGCAGCAGGTCTATTGGCAATGAGTCTCAACTTCTAATTAACGAGATTCAGTGTAAGTGTTGATGGCATTTTCAGGGCTCCTACCTACCAAATGCATGATGGCTGTGCGATTATAGCAAATTTCATGTTCAGTTTAATGGTTTCCCCTCCTACACTGTGATTTCCTCAAGGTATTCCAACTCTTCACTAAGTCCAATGGACATACACCACCTTATGCGGTGGAAGGGTGGGGGTGCAGCGTACAGACAAGTGTGCCCTACTATGCATTTACTTGTATGCTGTGCTCACCACAGGGAACATCCTACAAGAGAACTGTGTCCAGGAGTTCCAGTGTGACTCATGATGGAGCAAACGGCTGGTGAAGAGCATATGATGCAGCAGACACCTGGGAAAAGCATATGATTCCCAACTAGAAGGGGGACAATTCATAAGGGACATAAACCAATACCCCTTCTCCTTTCTCCGCTAACACTAAAGTAAGGAGGTCAGGGACATTCTAGTATTAGTTGCAATAAGCCCTGTTCTTTTGGTGTCCATTAAAATCATATAGACGCTATGACTTGTTATTACATTGGTCTGCTGTCTGAAGAGGGTAGAGGGTAACTACTGGTTCCACAGCCTTCCCTCAGCCCAAGACAGCTTTGGACATCATTAACAGTTTATGAGGCTATAGCTAAAATATTTTACAAACTGAAAAATTTCTGAACTTCATGACCTGTGTGAAGGACTACTGAGATAAAATATGTAAAACTTGGACTTTCCAGATAATTTAGGACATATAGTTACCACAACTGGAACACACAGGCCAACTCATAGACCTTCATAGTCTTAAAACAGGAATTCATTTGGGCCTTTCCTACTTTAGTGGCTCATTAATAAAAGATTAAGTTCATTTTTCTATCTCAGAGTAAAGATTTAAAATATTTAAATCAGGGGACGGGTCAGACTGGCTACCTTTCCTTCTTCAGTTCTGGGTGAGTTTTATAGCAACCTATATAGTAAGATTGAAACAAAGCCATGAGAGTTCCTGCTACTTTTTTTCTTTTTCTTTTTAATCATTAAATGAGTTTTGGCCAAATGACTCAGGAGTTTGACAAGACCAAACCTTCTGAAAATTGTTTCAGCTTTTCATAGACCTAGATAAATGCCCAACTGGAAAGTATCTTCTGATTGACTCTCCTAATATCAAAGATCAACTCATAAAATATTTTTAGAGGTGAACCAAGCTATGTCCAGGTTCTCCTGTGAAGTAGGTTAGTAAAGGGGAACTGAGACCTCCGCTTGAAGAGTGAATGCCATTGTATGTCAATTGTACTTTAATTAAAGAAAGAACTGCTATGACTACTTAGAAAACAATGAAATACTAAAGAAAATATTAAAAGAATTTGGTTTGTACAGGATCTTCAATTTTTCATATTAAAAAAGGAAAGCTAAAAGAAAAGGAGTGAAAGCCATAGTCTACTCACAAATGTTTCTATTGTTTCGGCCTACTGAACTTTTACCCAAAAAGTCTTTCTTTGAACAGTCTAATCAAAAACAAGGTCTGAAAAAAAATTTTTTTTAGATTGTTTACTTACAGCTAAACCTGCAGACAGGAGGCCAACTCCCAGTGGTTTCAAATAGGTTAACTTTGGACTAAAAAGATTTTTTAAAACTCCGCAACTTTCAAATAAACACGTGAAAGATGCCAGTATACTTGACTTCATCTGCTCTTCTAAAGCACTTCCTCTCTCCCAGGGAACACCTCCGGGGTCTACTATGGATTTTAGAGCCTGACTTTAGTGGGTAATCTTTGTCTAGTCCTGAAGTGAGAAGTGCAGCTGATCAAGTAGTGACCCACAGATTTGGGCTGGAATGGTCAGATCTGCAGACAGGAGGAGGAGAGAGAAAGGCAGGAAAGTCACTAGAGCCATATTAAATGTCTCTCCATGTCCCCTTATTCATTTAGAGCCTTCTCCCTGTGATTCTCACATGCGTGTTTACCTGCTGCTTTTTCAGAAAGGATAAACAATTACTGTCTTAAAAGTCTCATTCTTGTGCTTTGAGAATGTCGCTTTCCTGGGCTTCCTGAAGAAAACTAATGAAGTTCAGGTGCAGATTTCGTCCAAGTAGTTCTTCGGTATTTGAGGGACTGTCAGAGAAGAATAAGGACTTTTTTTTGGACAAAATGGGTGGTAGAACAAAAGAAGAGTCTTTGTAAAATTATGTTTGAAAATGATTATTTTAATTTCAAACTGCTGCTAAAACAGGCAGATTAACTGATTCTTCTAATGCCACACTTACAGTCAGGTAATGTTTTCAGGACTTCCAGGTAATTGGAACACAGTTCAAAGTTACCAGATATGAACGAGTAAATAGCCACCATAAAGCACATGCACTTTTCTCCTTTGTTTTAAGTACCCTCACAGTCATTCAATTGTGTATAAAATAATGGGATTAAGTTTACAGACCAGAGATACTGAGAGCAGACAGGGAGTCTGTTCAGATGATCCCGAAGACAATACAACTGGCTAGAGCTGTTTAGCCCAGACAATAACTGTTGCTTTTTAACAACAATGACAAAATACCATTTATCGAGTGCTTATCATGGTCTACTAGGCTCTATTCCATGTAGTTAGTAGGTATAAATATTATCCCCAATTTACAGTTGAGAAAACTAAGATATAGATTAAGTAACCTACATGCCATAATTGACAGAAACAAGGTCAAACCTATCTGTCAAAACTTAAGTCTCAACTGATTTCTTTTACGCTTTTTATTCCAATTCTAATTTTGGGGTGATATATTTTTTTAAAAACAGAAATCTGTAATTCAAACCTGATAAAGAGCATAGGGAACTATGTAATATGTTTTAGGACATTTTAAATCAAATATGCATAAATTTGTTGGTATTTAAAGGGTAAGCTTCAAATATCTACAAACTTCATTTATATGTAAAAGACAATGCCTTTGTTTAGTCACGTGTGGGTTCAATAAAGGTTTGATCGCATATTTTTTGTTTGCCTCAACCATGCCTTACATGACCTACTTTATTTAAAACTCCCTCAGCTCCGGGTGATCGACTTACCACAGTTTGCATGGGACTTTTTCCCAGTTTGGGCACCATAAGTCCAGCACCCCGAAAGACCCCTTAGTCCTGGGAAAACTGGGGTGGTTGGCGCTCTAGATTCACAGCACACATGGATGCCTTAAGGTTGCTTTTGGATGACAGTGATGGTTATCAATAGAATCTGATAGGCTTGAGTCCTCTCTTGGGGACAAAGATAAATCAAGTTGTTCAGTTTCCTGTTTCCATAGGGGGACCTCAAGTGATGAGGTAACTTTTTTCTGAAACCTCATTTCATTTTTAGTTTTCTGTCACTGTTACACAGGTCTTTTGCACTCTGAACTAAAAATCTTTCTCAGTGAAGCTTCCACCCTTTTCTTCTCCCATCCCTTGCTACTACATGGAATGACCTGAATCCTTTTCCCACGCGATTGCAAATTTTTTTATTTTTATTTTTTAAGGCAAGGCAACCCTTGGTTGACCTCACAGATTGCAAGGACCTTGTCAGCTTACAATCTCTTTTTTATTTTTAACGCCTATAGTACCTGGTCTTCCTAGGTGGTCTCCCATCCAAGTACTAACCAGGCCTGACCCTGCTTAGCTTTCGAGATCAGACAGGATCAGGCTTGTTCATGGTGGCATGCCCGTAGACCAATTGTACATTAAATATTTAAAGAAATCAATCATGCCCCCCTCCCCAGTTTTCACCTTCAAACAACATATCTCCTACCTTTTCAACAGTTCTCGTTTTCTTTTACCATTATTACTCTTCCGAATATAGTTTAGTTGCATCATATCCTTCTTAAACTGTAGTTTCTAGAATCCTAATCATTAATGTGTTACCTCCTTTGTTCTAGAATCTATGCTTCCTTTAATTCAGCTTACTATCTGGGTATTTTTCTTGGCAGTCATTAACTCAGAGTAAGATCCTATCTACTAAAACTTCCACGAATTTTACTCATGTGCTTCTGCTAGGCTATACTGCTTAACCTGTATGTGAAGTTAGTCGGTTATTTTTTTATAGCTTGAAATGCAAGATCTTACATTTAATTGTTAATTTTCGACTCCCCATTTTAAAAAAATCACCGTTTCCAGCTTTGATTCACAGGTTTGATGAGCGTACTTTCATGCCAATGATATAATTGTTAAAACGATAAGGACTTTCTTTATGTCCATAGTAATCGACTAATTAGTCTTTAGTTACAGTAATTTAATTCATTCGTAGTTAACCTCATTTACTAATATCAATACATATTTCCTTACTTCGTCCCATAAAGACCAACATGATAGGAAAGTAAAGTCAGAAACAGAAAAAATGCTTTGTGATGAAAAAATATTTGCTACTTCTGTCAAAACCATGGAACTGCTTTCTATGCTACGTTTTTGTAATTCTCCACTTTATTTATTGGGCTTGGTATGAAATACATTTTGGTTATTAAGGAAGATCAAATCTTCTCTTTATGAACAAAGATTTGTCCTTGTTAAGGATATTTTAAAAATATATCACAGATTTCTCAGGTAAGTCCAAAAGAGGAGTTCCAAATAGGCTTGGGAATAAGTATACAGTCTTCTAAATTTATTCCTTCAAAGGGAAAAGAGACATTTTGAAAGTGCAAGTGTTGCCACGTTTGTTAAACTATTAGACACAGTTTAAACCAGCAGTCAAATACGTTAGCTTTGGCCTGGTCCAACACCCAGTTCTACCACTTGCTAGCTGTTTGACTTTGGGCAAACATATCAATGCACAATGCTTGGCATCCAGTGAGAGCTCTAAAAATAAGAGTAACTACTATTTATTAAGCATCATTTTATGTTATGCAGTACATGAAGTGCTTTAACAGGCTGTCATATTTTTTCCTAAGGAAGCTATGAAGTAAACACTTTTGTTATCCCCAAATCACAGATGAGAAAATTGAGGCACAGAAAGATTAGGCAATTTGCTTAAGTTAATAACTGAAGAAAAAATATACATCAGGTCTATCTGACTTCCGACCAGGATCCCAAACACAGTTCTACATTGCCAGTTCCTGAATATACACAGATCATCAGGCCTGATAACTTTACAAGTCCAAGTAGGAAGGAGCCTGACCACTCAGTCAGGGAGGTTCCAGGGATCCCAAAAGGT